GAAAGAAAGAAAGAAAGAAAGAAAGAAAGAAAGAAAGAAAGAAAGAAGAAAGAAAGAAAAGAAAGAAAAGTAAGTCTGTTTAAAAGTTGTTGAGGAAACTCCCAGAATGTCTGGAAAGGCTGCAGAGGCAGGCCTGGAGAACAGGCTGGATCAGAGGAAGCTGGGAGCCCCCAGGACCACACGCCTCAGGGCCAGCCCCGAGAGGATTCTGCCACCTCCTCTGAACCCCTTTCTCTCCTCTGCTGCCCTGGAAGCTGATGTGGCATCATGTGCAGAGTGGAGTCTCCACGGACCTGCCACTTCAGGGCCACTGACTTCTGATCCTGTCTGGATAGGGGTATCCAGTTGGCCCAGTCGATGTCATATGTCTGCATCATGTGCTTGGATAGGGAGGTCGGAATTAAGTGTGTGGCCACTGTGGCTTTTATTTTCATTATTTTTTTTAAAGATTTTATTGTATTTTATTTTTTGGCTTTTATAGTGGGAGGTGCCTTCTGCCTCCCTGTAGACTCATGTGGGGGGAAGCTCCACAAGCTGGGCATCCAGAAAACCCAACAGATGTCTGCACAGGAAACAAAAATGAGTAGACAGGGGTCCCTGTCCTTGAGACACTCCCAGACATGCAGGAGTCAGTTATGTGGGAAGATAATTATGATAGGAAGTGAAGGCAGCCATAGTGGAGGTGATCAGCAGCCAGGGCCGGGGTTGGCAGAGAAACACTGATAACATGGCTCCGGCCCATGTCGGAGAGTCCAAGATGTCCCCGTGTGCTCCAGGCCACCTAGATGTAATGGCTGGGTGGAGTTTGATGACCAGTTGGGGCTGTCACACTGGGCCAGACTGTGTGACACAGACACACACCAACTGGGCAGAATTCGAGTCTCCAGAAATGATGCACCTTTTCTTGCTCACAGAAGTAATGAAATTGCTTGGCCTAAAAAGCTGCTTCCTGGCTAATGGAGCTTCTCTGTTGATATCTCGTCATGCCCTACAAGCATTTTGCAATGTCCTTGAAGTACCTCTTGTCCCTGCTGGGGCCTCAATGCTGTATCTGGATTAGAGAAAGGGATTCTCGGGATAGGCAGACCAGAGTTGGGACAAGAAAGAGGACGGTGTATTTGCTGCTTCGTGGGCTTCTGCTCTGTGAGACCAGATTCCTACTCTCTTCTCTGCTTCACCCCATGTCCTTCTGTGTTGCCTGCTCTGTGTCTGTGCCCGTTCCTGTCCCTGCATCACCATCACCGTCTTTGCTGTCATCATCATTGCCTGTCTCTATCTCGGCTGGGCCCCCAGCTCCAGAGGGACCCCAGCTCCAGCCTTTCAGCCCTGCTCTGTCCCTCTTGGACTCAGCCATCTGGGTTCTCTGAGAACCAGACACAGCAACCCCCACCCCACCCCACCCCAGCTCCACACACTGACATTCCAGTAGCCCCAGTTCATGGTGGTCCAAAATCAGCACATTGTCCTGTGGAGTTGTCACAGCTGGTGGGCAGCTCCCTCTCATCAGGTCTTGCAGGGCCCCCTGCCTTCCTGTCTTACCCCCTTCTTCCTATTTGAAGTGGCAACTTCAAATGTAACACCTTCCTGTCATCTCTCATACTCACTGGGGCCCCAGCCACAGTGACTGTCCGCCTGCCCACCTCCTTGCATCCTCCAGAGGGAAGCTGTGCAGAGCCAGGTGAAGAGCCTCATGCAGGCAGGTGAAGGGCCTCTGCTGGGCAGGGCTGGGAGGAGTCAGGGAAGAGAAAAAGGAGACCGGGTTTTGTAAGGCCAAGATACTCCAGTGAATGTGCTAGGGCCCCAGGGGCGCTTGAGAAGGAGAGGAGAGGAGAACGGGAAGGAACCGTGGGCACTGGGTTGAGCTGAGGTGGTCCCTGTGTTGTGTGGCTTTCAGTGAAAGAAGGTGGAGAAGCGGGGTGCTAACTGAGCAGACAGCAGAGGAATCAGGGCATCTTCCTGTCAGGCAAGTCAGGGGACCCAGAGGGTTCTTGGCCTACTCTCTCAGACTGTCCCTGGTGAGGGAGCTGAGCCTGGGCAGTCTGGGTGGCACCACCCTAGGGCTTCCTCAGCTGCCCAGAAAAGCTGTGTGGATGATCGAGGGTGCAGGAGCACCCCTTGATGGGGGGGGGGGCTGTGGTTGGCAGAGTCATGGAGGCGAAGTCCCTCCCAGCATGGAAGGGAGTGGCTTCTCAATTCCTGGTGTCCTCCAGGAAATCTGGAATGTTCCTTCAGGTCTCTGAGCTCACTTAGAAGTAACCTCCATGAGGACCTTCCTCTCTCTCCTCTTCCCTAGGGATGATGATAAGTCCAGCTCTGTTCCTCACCCCTGACTGTCTCCATTCAACCCTCTTCTGGCACCTACCCAGAGGGCATCACTGGCCTCTAAATGTCAGGACCGAGTCCTTCCCACATCAGCCTGTCCAGCCCTCGTGTTTTGCAGACAGGGAAGCTGAGGCGAGGAGGGGCAGTGACTGGCTCAAGGTCACATGATGGTTTAGTGGAAGGGTCAGCTCTAGAAGCCAGGCTCCTATTTGGAGGTCCTTCACTGCTCACCGGTGACTGACCTGTCTTCCCAGGTAGTAGGGGCATGAAGGGGGAATCTGCTCCAGACTTGAACTGTTGCCACAAGGCTAAGGCTCTGAGGAGTACAGGGGGCTCCCTGTCCTGCAGCCTGGACTTCCAGCTCTGCCCAGGTGACCAGGTAAGGAGGGATCCCAGCCCCATCTTTGAGGTCAGCCCGATTATAGAAGGGAGAGGATGTCAGGATGAAGTGGGGGAAAATATTTAGGGACCAGATGCCCATTGTCCCCTGGTCCTGAGCAACCCTATCCCACCCAGCAGTTTGCGGGGATGTGCCCTTGAGGTGCCAGAGACCCTCTCTCATGCCCCAGGGGTCAGAGTCCGCCTGTGGGGCATCAGAAGGGATAGGGCCTATAGGACGCCTTCGCTCAATGACCATGGCCTGGGCCCTAGCGGGAGGGGAACCCAGGGCTATCTTGGAGGGCTTATAGTCTTTGATGAGGATTTTCTCCGAGTTCATCTTGGCTCCATTCAAAACACAGTTGATGGTCTGAGACCCAGCGGGACCAGGACAGTCAGGAAGGGAGGGTATGTGAGGGGTTCTGGAGGGTAGGGGGAGGGCAACCCTGGGATGGGCATGAAAGTCCCTGAGGAAAGAAATTTGTGACTGAGGGATGGGGAAGCCATTTGAGTGGCAGACGTGGAGGGCGGCTTTTAGCTTCTCCTCTCCTTTGGAAATCAAACTGGAGCTGGGACCAACCCAGGGACACAGGTGCCCCAGCCTCCCACCCCCAAGCCCCTTGCCTCCTGCCCTCCAGGTCTTCTCAGCTTGCACACCACTCTCCGACACAGTGGACGCCCGTGGCTCATCATGTCCCAGCTGGCTGCACCCCTTGCCCCTGACACCAGCCAGGTCTGCCTTGCTGACCTGTCCCCAGGGCCTGGACCTATATCTGTGCACCCTACAGCCGACACCACCGAGCACAGCCCCACAGAGTCTTAGACGTGATGTCTTGAGCACAAGTAAGCCCAGGGCAGAGGACTGCACCTGGATGGAGGCCGGAGGCGGGAGAGGACTCTTAGGTTCCAGGACAGGAAAGGGAGGGGACCAGTGTCACCAGTGAGAACAGAGCCTCACACTTTGGCCTGGAGTCCTGGCCTTGGTCCGGGATGGGTGGGGAGGTGGGTTTCAGGGCAACCCCTAAGCCACAGGAGGTGGGCAGGGGCTTTCCGTGTAGGGAGATCTGGAGTAGGTGTAGCCAAAGTCCCGGGCATTGAGGATGGTGCTTTGGCTGCCTAGAATGTGTGAGCTGGAGGGGTCCTTATAAGATAGGGGCGCTGACTGGGAGCCAGCGATCGGAGGGCGGAGTCCTGGTTCTGCTCTTTCTGGCTCTGCGACTTCGGCCACATCACTGAGTCCCGTTTCTTCTTCCAGGTGAGTAGGATCTGTTCTAGATTTGTTGCTTTGTAATGCACCGTTTCCTTACACACTTGTGGCCTCCTGGAGGGCGGGAACTATGTGGCCACGTCAGCACGGAGCGCAGAGTGAAGCGGTTCAGTGAGGTTGGTGGAGTGAATAAATGAGGATTCAAGCAGACAGTCTACTTTGTGGCATTTTTTCTTTTTAGTATCTCATTTTACATCCCTCCTGGCTTATCTCCCACGTCCCTGGCTGTTGCATCTCCACTTCCCTTGCTAGCTCTTCCCTACTTACCTCCTAAATATCCCCACACTCTGAACTCAGTCCAGAGCCTTCTGCCCGCCCCTCCCCTGCTTTGGTCTCCTCTCTCCTCTGCTTTCCCTCCTCTCCTCTCTTGGCCACTTCAGGGAGAGTGGCACAGTCTTGATAGGACTTCCTGCAATCAGGGCCACCGTCTATGCTTGTGCTGTTTGCTGCCATACCTACCGAGCCTTTTGAATGTGGCTCATGTGAGTGAGGAGCTGAATTTTTTATCGTACTTATTTTAACTAATTGAAATGGGATCACATGTGTCAAGTGACCACCAATTTTGGACACAGCCGATCTAGCTCACCCTTAGGTGGTCTCATCAGGCAGGGCTCTTGGCACCGAAATGTATGTCTTCAGCTTGGATGTCTCCTTTAAACTCCAAACCAACCAACCAACCAAACAACCAACCAACCAAACTCCAGACCAATTCATCCAGCTGCCTACTTGACTTTTCCACCTGGGTGTCTAAAAAGCTTCTCGAATCATTTTCTCTCCCTAAAATTGTTGAGCGCTGCATAAACACTAGCTGCTTTTGTCGGCAAGTGCAGACCAGGGAGGCTCAGAGAGGGACAACGCCTGCTCGGGTCATCCAGCAGGCTTGCAGGCTAGAGCACTCCCCCACCCCGAGCTCGCTAGCGGCCCGGTTAGATGGGGAACAGAACTTTCCCCCAGGCTGCAGGGCCCTGACCAGTGTTTCTTTTCCTGCTCAGAGCACCAGCCACCAGGGCTGCAGGCCGGCTCCACTGATGAGAAACGCATGGCCAAGTACCCTGCGAGCAGGGACAAGAGGGGAAGCCAGCAGGAAAGAGCCAGCGAGGGGGCCCTCCGCCCATCATTCTCTCCTCACAGCGGCTCTTTGCCAACCCCCTGCTCCTGCCCACTGCCCACTCCCATCTCCAAAGAACTCCCATTCTCCCTCCACTCCTTCTATCCTGAGTACCCACTTCTGCCTCCACCTCACCTGTTCACCTATGGGGCCCTACCTTTTGTCCAATATCCCCTTCTCTTCATGCTGCCCCCAGGCCCTTCCTACCCCAACATGGCTATGCCCAGCTTGCTGATGAGTATCAATGAGCCCGGGCACCCTACTGCCCAGAGGGAGACACTGTATCCTTACCCAGGGGCCTCCCAAGCCTCTGGCCAAAGCCAACCTTCCCAGGCCCAGAGTCGAGGTCCTGGAGCTGCCAGGACCCACTCCCCAGGGCCAAAGAGCGTGGGCAGGGCGGCTCCAGCAAGGCGGGCGTCTGCGGGCTCCCGGCCAGGCACCACAGCTCTGCCTTACCCACTGAAGAAACAGAACGGCAAGATCCTGTACGACTGCAACGTGTGTAGCAAGAACTTCGGACAGCTCTCCAACCTCAAGGTATCTGCCTCCTGGGCTCCGCTGGCTCCCCAAAGCAGCCTTCCATGACCCCCTCCTCCTACCCTGCTTCCAGAATCAAGGACCTGAAAGCCGGAGCAACTCCTGGGCAACCCCTAGGCTGTGATCTGGGATGGTTCGCTTGGCCCCTCACTGTCATGTTTGCAGAGAGGAGATGCAGGACAGGATGGCCACCAAAGTCCTCTCCACCCTAAGAGACTGTCTCTGGGGGCATCTCATTTCAGTCAAAAATGGGGAAACTGAAGGAAAGGTTTGCCCGAGGTCACTTTGATTTCACGGTGAAGTTAGGCCTTGATAGTAGCCTCTCAATGTCGAGTGCAAAGCCCTTTCTTGAACAACCATCTTTCTAGATCCCCAGTTAAGCCTCCTCTTGCTTATTTGTTTGAAGGTCCAGTGGGGGAGATGGGTAGATTTTAGGGAGTCTAGGTCACAGACCTGACAACCAGCCTTTTTCACGTGGGATCCTACAAAGCAGCGTGTTGCTGTTGGTGTCATCATCCACACCGCCCAGCGGGAGCACCCGGGCCCACCTCTCTGTGTCAGCAAAGATGGGGATCTATGCACATGTTGGCAACACTGAAGTTGAGGAAAAGTTATGGTTGTTGAGGAACGGCCCTTCGGGGTCCTCCAGGGTGTGCGTTCTTAAGCTTTAATTAGATTCAAACCTGGAGAGCTAGGAAACATGCAGATTCCTAGGTCCCAGCCCCAGAGATTTTGATTCAGCTAGTCCGGGGCAGGACCTGCGAATCTGCATTTTTCGCATGCTCCCAGGTGGTGCTGATGCTGCTGGTCTGTGGACCACACTTTTTTTTTCAAGATTATTTATTTTAGGGGGCGCCTGGGTGGCTCAGTTGGTTAAGCGTCTGCCTTCGGCTCAAGTCATGATCCTGGGGTCCTGGGATCAAGCCCGGCATTGGGGGGGGTGTCCCTCTTCAGCGGGGAGCCTGCTTCTCCATCTCCTTCTATCTCTTCCCTCTGCTCATGCTCGCTCTCTCTCAAATAAATAAATGTGTGTGTTTTTTTTAAAGATTATTTATTCTAGAGAGAGAGTGAGAGAGAGCAGGGGGAAGGGGCAGAGGGAGAGGGCGAGAGAGTCCAGGCCAACTCTGAGCTAAGCATGGAGCCCGACGCGGGGCTTGATCTCACAACCCTGAGATCACGACCTGAGCTGAAGCCAAGAGTTGGTCGCTTAACCAACTGAGCCACCCAGGCGCCCCTGTGGACAACACTTTGCGCAGCACTGCTCAGGATATATATACATGGGCTATCCCTTACCTAGCCTTCTGACCACTGTCACCTCCCCTCCCACGGGGCACCAGAAAGAGTGAGGGTAACTTGGAGAATGGAAGAGAGGCCCTGAGGGCAGTGATAGGGTAGCAAGGGGATTGAGCATCCTTGATGCGAAACCGGGGTCCTGTGGGATTGTGGGGAGAGATTTGGACAGGATCCCAGGCCCTGCTGGAGGGTTCTGGGCAGTTGGCAGCCTTTCTCCCACACTTGGCTCAGGTCCATCTGCGTGTGCACAGTGGGGAGCGCCCATTCCAGTGTGCCCTGTGCCAGAAGAGCTTCACCCAGCTCGCCCACCTGCAGAAGCACCACTTAGTGCACACTGGGGAGCGGCCCCATGAATGCCTGGTGAGAGCCTACTTCCCCTCCCCTGTACTCCTGCAGGCTGGTGAGTAGTTCCAGGCTCCTGGACAGATGGCCCCTGTAGCCTCCATTCACCAATGCTCCTGAGCAAGTGGAGACGGGACTGGAGGCAAGGGTGGAGGCAGGGAGGGAGGTGAAGGGAGGTAAAAATGACCTGTCAGCCTGGAAGGGCCAGAATGTGAGACTGGAGGTCCCGCCCCAGGCCTGGAGTGAGGAATAGAGATGTACGTCTACGGGAGGAAGATAATAAAGCTGGGGAGTCCTGGAGAGTGGATACCCGTAACCTGCTCCCCAGGGTTGCTGGAGAGGTAAAGGGCCTCGTGTGTGCAAAGTACACAAACACCACAGATAACACAGCTCGATGTTAGCTCCTTCTCCCTTTGAGTCTTGCTACATCCCTTGGGAGGTCAGAACAGCAGGAATTCTTTCCCCAGTTTATAGAGGCAGACATGAAAGAAGCATCGTGGTTCTAAGTCTGGGCTACTCGGGTTCAAATCCCAGTTCTCCCTCCAACTTGTGTGACCTTTGGCTAGTGGCTCTCCTCCTCTGAGCCTCTGCTTTCTCACTGTAATAGAGGAGTTATACTAGGACTTAGTCCTGCTTCTCCAGGGTCCCGGGGAAGACTCTGTGAGACCAATTCCTGGCATGCGGCAGCTCCCAGTAAATGTTAATTACGCCCACGAAAGCTGTAGGCCCATGCTTAAGGGTCCTATGTGATGATCTCATTCAGTCCATCATACCTCTGAGGCTAGGGATTAATAGTCACATGTTACCAATAAGGAGAACGAGGCTCGGACAAGAGATGGCACCTATGCAAGGTCACACAGGGAGTAAGAAACAGGATACTAACCCAGGTCTCCCTGGGTCCCAGGGAGAAATCATCAGGGAAATCTTCTGGGCCAGCGTTACAGGCAGGTGGTGTGGGGAGGGGTGCCCGGGGGCGGAGGGAGGGGGGTTGGAGCAGAGATCCTGAGCCAGCCCGGTGGGCGGAGCTGACACCAGTGCCCATTCCCACCAGATGTGCCACAAACGCTTCAGCAACTCCAGCAACCTGAAGACCCACCTGCGCCTGCACTCGGGGGCCCGGCCCTTCTGGTGCAGTGTCTGTCCCCAGCGCTTCACCCAGCATGTTCACCTGAAGTTGCACCACCGCCTGCATGGCCTTGTGGCCTAGCACACACCCACCTGCCCTTGGCGTCTCTTGCCTGCCTTGCCCGATGGCAAGCCTAGATCTTGCGGCGCTGCCATCGGAGAGGCAGACGGGCTGGGGTTTGGAAAAGGTCAAGGTGTCCTTGGCATCTGGGGGAAAGTATGGGCAGCCAGCCTGAGCCCTGGTGCCAGGACTGCCCCGGGAGGGGGCAGGAGCCGAGCAATTAAAGGATTGTCTCTATGGCGAGTTGAGGCCTCCCAGACTTCAGCAGTGGCGGGGGAGCGGGGAGGGAGGAAGCAACTGTGTATCTGTCAGACTTCACACATTACCTAGAAGCAGGTCAGAGAACACAGCCAGGGAGAGCCTGTGATGCCCGCTCACGGGGTGGGTGCTTGCAGCCATCCACATCAGCTGGATTTGGGTCCTTCTCCATGTCTGGGACTTGACCCTCCCATCTCAGCTTGCCAATGGATAGTCCAGCCTTCCAGGTCTCCGCATGGTGCAGACTACACTGCCAAGCACTGGGCACACTGATCTCTTTCCTGAGCAGATGTTCCAGCACCTGCCCAGATGTATGTCTGCTGCTTCCCACCACCTTCCTGTCTCACAGCTCCTAGGAAGCCAGTGTGCCTCCTTAGCTGGTACTCCTTGCCATGGTCAGGTAGGTGGCGTGTGCTTCTCCCTCTGTACATGCCAGGATCTGAGCCCCCCGTTGGGGGTAGAGGGGCAGGAACACAAGGTCAATGTCCATTCATGACTCAGAAACACGAGGTCGTCCTGTGTGCCAGGACCACTCACCACAGAAGGCAAAGGGCTAAGGAGGTAGGAGTCCACAGAAGGCGTAGAGGCCCTACGAGGAGTATAAGGGAAGAACTGGCAAAGAGAAACTGAGGAACTAGGACCCTCCTAGTGACCTTTCTCCCTGCAGTCCCAGAGGATCCCCTCAGATGTGCAAGGTATTCTGCACCCCCGGGGAATCGGGAGTTAGCATCAGGTGGGAAAGGGTATTTACTGCCTGGGAAGCAGGAGACCCAGGTTATAATCACAATAAACAGTAGCTATTATTAAATAATAATAGCTGGGCGGGGCGCCTGGGTGGCTCAGTTGGTTAAGCCACTGTCTTCGGCTCAGGTCACGATCCTGGAGTCCCAGGATCGAGCCCCGCAGCATCGGGCTCCCTGCTCAGCAGGAAGTCTGCTTCTCCCTCTGACCCTCCTCCCTCTCATGCTCTCTGTCTCTCATTCTTTCTCTCTCTCAAATAAATAAAATTAAAAAAAAATAAATAAAATTCTTAAATATTAATGGCTGGCCAGCTTCCAGCAGGGGCCTCCATTCGCGCCCCCAGGGGTTTGAAAGCGACTTCGCCACCCGGGGACTGGGAGAGCTTCGCGCTGTGTCGGACGCTCTCCAGGAGCGCGCGAGTACTCTCAGGAGCCCACCGCGGCGGGGCAACGGCGGGGTCGGCTTCGGCCTCTCCCGTCCCCTAATCAAGGTCCGGGTTTAAAGCCCACACCGTCACCCCTTTGGCCCTGCGCCAGAGGCCAACCCCTCGGGCTAGGCTCCATCCACTCGACAAGACCATGCCCCCTCGCGTCTTGACCTCGCCCCCGCGTTCTAGCCCCTCCTCCTCGGGGGGAGAGAAGACCCTCGTTCAGCCCCGCGTCCGGCCCCCCGCTCGCCCGAGTTTCCCCTTTCCTGCCCACCTCGTGCAAGGCCAGCTTGGGGGCCACTCGCCCCCGGTGTGCCCCTGGAGCCTCCCGAGACCTAAAGAAGTAGCGCGGACCTTGCCGAGAGCACGGCAAGAGCGGGGAGGAGAAGTGGGGCACAGGCGGAGCGACCCCTGCAGAACGCACCCCGTGTCCTGGGGCAAGGGCCGCCTCTGGGTCAGTCCCCCGCCCGCGGCGGGGCCGCTGTTTGTTCAAGCGGCCGGGCCGGAGAAGGCGTTTCTCTGCTGAGGAGCGGATCCGGGTGGCCCCCGTGGCCCCGGAGCGCTGTGGTGCCCGGGAGCCCGGGGCCTTGCCCTGGCCATGGCCGAGGGGCACGGGAGTCTGGGGGTGCGCCTGGCCCGCGGCTTGGCGAGACTAGGGCTCCGGAGGGAGCGCCGGGGGAAGCGGACCCCGGAGGAGGCCAGAGCCCGGGATAGGTGAGGGGGATGGAGGAGGGCTGCAGGGGCGCCCCTGGACCCTAGGTGTGTGTGTGTGTGTGTGTGTGTGTGTGTGTGTGTGTGTGTTAGAGGGTAGTGGATGTTCAAAAAAGCGTGTATGAGTGTCTGAGAACATAAAAATATACGTGTCAGTGTACTACGATTTTGGATATATGAATGTGAACATGGTCTTTAGAAAGTACCTGCGCTCTTTTGAAACTTTGGAATAACTTTTGCAATTCCCGAAGTCAGGCGGCGGCCCGTGGATAATGATTTCCTCTCCAGAGCCAGTTTAAGGGCAAACGTAGGAGCTCCCCCTGCCCCTGTGGACTTTGTCACGTCACAGGCCAGTTTCCCTCTGGTCTGCATTCCCTTTGTCGTGAGCATGACAGGCACCTGCTTTGTCAGAGACCGCGCTGCGTTTGCCCTCAGATGCCACGGGGCCGGTTTCCCCTGTCATCCCAGACTGTAGTAACAATAAACCTTTATGTGCCCCTTGCATCGTGCCTTACCTGGATTATCTCATTTAATCCTCATAGCAGCTCCATGAGGCAGGTAGTTCATGTGATTCAGTTGTGGAAACGGAGGCTCAGACAGGTGAAGTCACCTGCCCAGTCAGTCACACAGCTGGGAAGTGGTGGGGGCGGGGTTAGAGCTTAAGCAGTCGGACTCCAGAGCCCGGGTCCTGAAGCACTGGGCTGCTCTCTTGCCTGGGGAGATTTCAGGACCGCCAGCCAGGGGGCCAGACTTCCGTCCTCACCCTAGGTGCCCCTGGCCTGGTCACCTTGAACAAATTGCTTCCTCTCTCTGAGCCCACTCACTGATAGCTACTGTCTAAGTGGAAGGAAAAAGGCTGTGGATGGCAAAGCTGAATGGCTGGGAGGGGGATAGTGAAGAGGCCCCCAGTGGCTCACAGGCCCTGTGTCTGAAAAGAGCATGGAATGTGCTCACAGGCACCGGGTGTTATGTGTCTGTGTAGTTACCAGGCAATTTGTTCTGATCTTATCATGACACAGCTGTCTTTAGCAGCCCTGGGAGGGGTGGGGTACCTGAGGCCTGGGCTGGTGCGGAGGGAGAGGAGGGGTTTGTACTGCTCTCTCACACCAAAGGGGGAGGAGAGGGGAGGGCCTAGCCACCCTGGAAAGCCTGGAAGCCTGGGTGCCCCAGGGGGTTACCCACACCCTGCCACTGCCCTGCCCGCCCCCACCTGGAAGCCACGCCCTCTCCCATTACCCGGTCCGGCAGGAACCTGCCCTATAGGCCCCAGTGGCACTGCCCCTCCCTTTCCCCACTTGAGAGGAGGCAGGGTTGGCATGCTGGTGAGTCAGGGGTTGGGAGGACAGGGGAGGGACTGTGCATGCTCATGGGTCAGCGTGATGATACATCCCATGCGCGCACTTGTACTGGGTTCTCACCAGATGTGGTAATGGGACTCCAGCACTAAGGCACAGGCCTCTCTGAGCCCTGCTGATTGCCTTGGTGGGGGGGGGGGGGGCGGGGAAGGGGGGGTAGGCGGTCAAGGCACTTTTCCCCATATTGCCCCCATTAGTGCCACGATGTCCAACCAGCCTTTGGAATGGGACGGTCCTAGTGCCTAACTCCCAGGCTCACCAGCTGTGTGACTCCAGGCAAGTCACTTCACCTTTCTGGGCCTCAATTTCCTTATCTGAAAAATAGGGACATAATATCCACCTTCTAGGATTATTGTGAAGCTTAAAGGAGATCACGTGAGCGCCATACCTAAGGCTAAGCCTGGCGCTGGGAGGGCCTCAGCAAATGGCAGGCTTTGGAATTATTGAGGCGCTGTCCTTTTTCTATATTCTGGTCCTGCTACAGACCTAGTCCCCACTCTTGTCTCAAGCTCATCTCCTGTCTCTTTCTCTCTTTTGGGGAGTAGACAGCTGGGGGAGGGAGCAGAGGGGAGGCTGCTGCATAGACCTTGCCCCACTCCTAAGGTTTCAGGAGCTCGTCCTGCCTATGTGCCCTGAAAGAAGTAGGGGAGGGCCCCAGGGTCCAGTCTGAGGGTGGGAGGGGAAGAGGCTACTTCACTCCTTTCCCTATGCTTCCTTCCCAGGCCCCGGGGTGGCCGGAGCTGCCCTGACCTAGCCCAGGGCCTGGGCAGCACCAGCAATGTCAGCCTCAAGGTAAGAGGGAATCGGAAGGGGTGGGAGGGGAGGGTGGGGGGTCAGAAGCTCTGGGAGCGGCTGGGCCGGCCCTGAGAACCCTGACTTACAAGTTAGGCACCTGGAGCTCTCTAATCCTCCCTCTGCCACTGATTCACTGTGTGACCCTGCGGGGGTCACTCCCCACTTCAGTTTCCCTATCTGCAAAATGGGGACAAGAATGGCGCTCAGAGTTGTTGGGAGAAGGAAAGTCATGGCTGGAGGACATCCAGCAAGGGGCCTAGATGCTCCAGAAGCCGGAGCTTCCTACTCAGTGCCTATGCCCAGGAGCCCCCTTTCTGCACTCCCTCCTTTAGCTTGACCTTGTCTCCTCTCTGGACCCTTTTCCCCACTTCCTGGCACGGAGCCCCAGTGGTGAAGCTGGGCGGTGGTTTAACCTTCTGGCCACAGTTTTCCCATCTTCAGTGGGGACTTGAGCCATGGCTTGAACGGTAACAGGGCGTCCTCCCTTTGGAGGAGCAGAAGGCCTCCTCTGGCGGTGGCTCAAGCAGCCATGTGTCTGTGGTCCTGAATACCATTAGTAATTACTCGCATTTAATTGAGTACTCATTATGTGCTGGTTCCTCTGCACGGCCTATCTCATACCATCTTCGCAGCACTCCCAGGAAGCAGGTGCTGTTATTATCATACCCATTTTACACACGAGGAAACTGAGATTGTGGCTAGGAGGTGGCAGAGCTGTGATTTGAGCCTGGGTTGCCTGGCTCCAGGCCCCCATATTAATCATGGTGCCCTCCTGTCTCTTGAGGTATTTGGTCCCTGGGGAGCAAGAGGCTGCACCTATTTCACAGATGAGTAAATTGAGGTATTTGGGATCAAGGGCCCCTGCTAGGATTTTGACCCCAGACTTGGCTCCTCTATTGCCAAGGACACAAACCTGTCCCTGAAAATTAGTGGTTTGGGAGCAGTGTCCATATGGCCCTCTCCCCTCACTCCCACAGCCAGGCTGGGCTCCAGGGGAAGATGGCAGATGGAGGTAGGTTTGTCCCACTTTCAGGGGAACCCTCTTCCCTGGATCCCTCATGGCCCAGGTACATCTCTGTGCCCAGGTGCCTCCCAGGTGTGCTTGGGAATCTCAGGCTGCGAGGGTCCTGGGGTGGCGGGGGTTGGCTACAGGCTCTCTGGAAGCCTGGAGTGGGCAGAGGCCATAGACACTTGTACCAGGCACGTCCGTGCAGCCCCTAACCCCCAGAGAAGCTGCTGCCAAAGGGCCAGAGGCCTGTGGATGCCTGGGAAGGTGGCAGTCGGCCTGAGAGTTGAGCCCTCACTGAGTGACTTTAGTCGAGTCAGTGTCCTCTCTGGGCCTCACGTCCCTCATATGCAGAATGGAAGGCGGTAAGTGAAATGCTGAGCGCCTTCCCAGAGCTCTACCCTTTGTCCAGTTCTCGTGGCCCTTAGGGCAGCTCTGCTTGGTGTCAGAGCCCTGTTCAGCTTCTGCTGTGCCCAGGAGGGCAGTCAAGGGTGATGAGGGCGCTTGGAGGGTAGGGAGAAGTGCTGTCACCAGTCCCCTGCCTCTGCTTTCCCTTAGGCCCAATCCCACAGCTGCTCAGAATGGGACCTTTGGGCAGGGAGCCGTGGTTCCTGGCTTTGGAGGAGACGACACAGCTCAGGGCAGCCCCCTCAGCCCCTGGGGCGCCTACAGAGGCCAGGTGTGGGCAGTGCCTCTGACCTGGCCAACTATGTCTCCGTGGGACTGGAGAGCCCCTCATGCGCGGTGCCAGCTCCTGGAAGTTTGGAGCAAGGAACCCCAGGCTGCACTTGCCTGCAACCCCCAGGCACTGACCCCGAGGTTCCTGTGAGGCCTGAGCCACCAGGCAACCTGGAAAACCTGCTGCCCCGCCCAGCATCCTTCCCCACGGCAGCGCGGGCAAAGGGCAAGGCTGTCACACCAGGGCCAGCCCTGCCACATCCAGCCCGGACCCTACACCAGTGTCCCTCTGCCAGGAGGACCCGCTACCACATCACTGTCACCCTCCAGGGGCACCGGCAGGCACCTGGGGAGGTGGGTGGGGAACCTAAACCGGCCCAACCAGCTCTCCACCCCTGCGGCCCTGAGGAATCCAGGGGCTGGCAGGATCCTCCCCAGGGGCCCCGCCCCGTCACGGGGTGCCCGACAGACCTGCCCCCGGAGCCCCGGCTGAGCGCCCCGACGCATCAAGAGGCCACAGCCCAGCAACAGGAGCGCTGGGCCCACTGGACGCCCGGGTCCCCACACAGACAGTGAGTAGAGGTCGGTCCCCACATGGGGCGACAGCGGGAGGGGAAACTGGCCTGGCTGTCCCCTCTTGGGTTTCTGCCTGGTTTCTGGGCTTTCAAGGCCCATTCATTCAGCTCCCTGAGCATGAGCTGACTCTGCCATCTCCTGCCCACCCTGCACTGTGCTCCTCTCCCTCCCCTCAGCCACAGGCTACCTCCCAGGGACTATTGCCACTCTTCTCCTCTGTCCACCTGAGGAGAGGGATAGCCTGTCATGGAGGGGGTGGGGGAGGGTCACCTTCTCCTCAGCAATACCCCCCACAGACCCAGCCTGGGAATAGGTGCCCAGCCAAAGGGCTGGGTGTCCTGGGAAAGCTGGAGTGGCAGAGGCCATAGATACTGCTTAACCTCTCTGGGCCTTGAGTTGTTGAGTAGATTTGGCAGGTGGAGGTGAGGAAGGAGGAGGTGGTCATAGGACATGCTTTGAACTCCAGGGAGTTGGGCCACCCAAATAGCAGGGATGCTTGTTACTAACGCCTTAGTCGCAGCAATAATGACCCCACCTGGCCCTTGGGTGGTGACCACAGGAACAGGCACGAGGTTCCCAAGCCTCAGTTTTTATTTGCGTTGAAATGACTCTCCTGGATCTGCCTGGTAGGCCCAGAGGTAGAAGGGTGGGTCCCCTAGAACTCATTGAGGAGGGGGTGATGTCTCTAGGGCCACCAGGAAGGGGCACTGGGGCTCAAAGAGGGCTCTGAAAAGTTCCTAATGATGATGGTGGTGGCTGTTATTTCTGGCTTGGTTTTTCGTTTGTTTTTTTTTTAAGATTTTATTTATTTATTGACGGGCAGGGGGGCAGAAGCAAGGGGAGCTGCAGGCAGAGGGAGAGGGAGAAGCAGGCTCCCTGCTGAGTAGGGAGCCCGACACAATGCAGGACTCCATCCCAGGATCATGGGATCATGACCTGAGCTGAAGGCAGATGCTTAACTGACTGAGCCACCCGGGGCCCCATGGCTTGTTTTCTAAGCATAATTCCTTTTATTTTTATTGTTTTAAAAGATTTATTTATTTATTTTAAAGAGAGTGAGAAAGAGAGAGAGAGCGAGCAAGCATGCTTATATAGGAGGGAGGGGCAGAGGGCGAGGGAGAGAGAGATTCTCAAAGCTGACTCCCTACTGAGCACAGAGCTGGATCCCACAACCCTGAGATCATGACCTGAGCCAAAACCAAGAGTCAGAAGCTTAACCTACTGTACTACCCGGGTGCCCCCTAAGCATAATTCTTTTAAATCCTCAGAAAGCCCCATGAAGCAGGACTAATCTCGTTGACTGCCCCCATTGCAATAGGGAAACTAAGGCTCAGGGAGGTCATATCACTTGCCCAAAGTCAGCTAGAAAGTGAAGGAAGGGGTCAGAACTTGAACCTGGATGCTTGTGCTCTGAGCACCACTTTCTCCTGCCCTCCCAGAGGCCTTGCTGGCCCTGTGCCGTCCGTGGAGGGTTGAGTGGTTGCTGTACAGGGTTTTCAGTGACCCCGTGGAGATGGATTTGGCAGCATCAGGAATGCCCAGGCCCCGGAGCAGGAGTCAGGGTACGTCATCCTGTGGCAAGAAAGAGAGAGAGGTGAGACCCAGGCTGGCTCAGGGACCTTGTCGGGTGCCCCAGCTGGGAGAACAGAGAGAGGGGAGGCGGACAGAGGAGACAGGCCTTGGAGAGGAGAAGGAAGAAGCAGCAGGTTTAGCTGAGGGGACTCAGGCACGACCTGCCACTCCCTGGCTATTTTGGGACAAGGTAGCTAATGACAGACTCTGGCTGGAGGCTAGGGGCTCACTTAGAGAGGCCGGAAGCCGACCTCTGGGGATATCATCCCTTCTGTGACCCCTTTCTGGGGGAAGCATTCCTGGGTCAGGATTGGCCGAGGTCGGGGGGGGGGGGGGGGAGGTAGGGCACAGTCGGGGCTGCCTGTGGGGCTGTGTAAGACGCACATGCGTTCACGTGTGTGTTTGAGGGCAGGCGGCTTTCACGAGGAGGAGGAGGGCTGCGAGTTGACCGCGTGTATTGTGAATGTGGACATGTGTCACTGTGTCTGTGTGTTTCTGGGTGTGTGTGTGTGACTCGTGTGTCCCCTGGGTCTCTGAGCGTGTGTAACTGTGTCTGACCGAGTCTGTGTAGGTGTGCGCTGGGTTGGTGCCCGTGTGACGCGGTGGGCCTGCGCCGGGGTCCGTCTTGGTGTCAGTGTGTGCCTTTGTGATGCAGCATGTGTTTGTGAGCCTGTGGGCCTGTGGACTGGTTTGGCCTAGTTTGGGGGTGACTCACAGGTAAGCGGGGAGAATCCAGGACTTGTTGGGTTAGACCACGCTTTTTCCCACACTCCCCCCGCCCCCTCCTCAGCCTCTCCCTTTCCCGGCCCCACACACCTTGTTTGGAGGTCAGAGTCACCCTGCCAACAGATCCATTTCTGGTCTGGGGCCCTGAGGAAGAAAGGGCGCTGGGAATGAGGACTTCTGCTAGCCTAGGAGAGGCGTCCTGGGCCATTGGGGTGTGTCTTCAGAGCAAGGACGAAAGGGAGTGCTATGGGCAGGCAGATTCCAGCGTAGTTTGAAGAACACTCTAGCAGTCATGACCCTCCAGGGACGGGACAGGTCAGCTGTCAAATGGTGACCTCTGTATCCCCAGAAGTGTGCAAGCAGAAGCCAATGACCACGTGTTTATGGAATGAGTGACTGTCAGGAGTGTTGTTCAGGGGCTGGGCTGGCTTGAGAAAGGCGTGGAATTTTGATTGCTGGGAGGTCATTTGCAGTATCTGATCTGATGACCAATGGCTTCCTTTGAAGCTCTTCTTGTTGCTTTGCCAAAACCAAGGGGGCCTTCCAAATGTGGTTCCTGTTTTTAGGTCCAGTTCTTTGGACCCCTGGACTCCTAGGATACCACCTTTGGGTGAACCAAACCAGGGCCCAGCACATCACTTAACACAATTAGCCCTGAATGAACGACTCAGTCAATCAATTAATCGGTGACTTAGAACCCAGGCTCTGCCACTTAATGCCCGTGGGGGCAGGGAATCTCAGTGAAATCCTAGTTATTATTATTATTGCAGAAATAAAGAGGAGACTCAGTAGGGGGCTCAGTGAGCAGGTGAAGTTCCTTGGCAGTAGTCCCAGCAAGCAGGACAAGGTTCTGTTGGAAGAAAAGGGGCTCCTTAGTGAGGATGGGAGGGGGTCGTGGCCTCGGGCAAAGGGCTCTGATCTAGAGCCACAGGTGTCTGGTTGTGTCCTGCTCTCAGGAATTCTGGTCTGGGGAAAGGTTTGGGATTCATGTCAGCTCCCTACCTTCCCCCTACGAAGGGCTTTTCCAGGGCCACTCAGACCCTGTCAGAGCTCCCAAGGTTCCGGAGTCAAGTCAGGCTTCCCTGGGCCTCAGCCCCTTTCATCTCTGTTCCTCGTAAAATCTGAGTCACTGCTAGGGCCACAGAGCAGGATCAAAGTTCTGGGTTCCACCAGCTTCTCAGGAGAGAAGAAGATAGACATGGGGGAGGGGAGGTGGGGACAGGGGTGCATTTCTGGCCTTAACTTCCCTTATAAGTGGCCTGGGGACTGCCTCTTGGAGAGGCGTGGCCCTGAAGACAGGCTCGACCCGAGGCTGAGGATGAACAGTCTGACCTCTTGGGTCCTTGGGATCTCAGAATAGGATTGTCCTGGTCAGCACAGCCTGGAAGTTGGAGTGGGGGCTGGGTGGTCCCTCCAGGACTACTATGGCCCCCTTTAAAAGTAAACCTCCAAACCATAGAGTCTTGGTTCACCAGATAATTATTACATTAGGGAGTTTAGTACGGTGGTCCAGTGCTTAGGGTTGGGGGTCAAGTCTTGCCGTCTGCCACTGTGTGATTCTGGTCAAGTTTCTTAACCTCTCTGAGCCTTTTTTGTCCTCATCTACAAAATGGGAATGTTTGTTTATAATTGATTCCTTGAGGTATCAAATGCATGGGATTCTTCTGAAGATTCAGAAGGACAATGGACAGAAAGCAGTTAGCGAGGTGCCCGGCCCATGAAGCTTGAAGGGGAGAAGTGGCTGGCCCAAGGTCATCCAGCTAGGAAGCGATCGGGTCAGGGAAACTCAGCGTTGCCGGAAGCCACAGCCCATCTTTCCTTCCCTCCCCTTATCATGGTCATGATCAGGGTCAGAACAGTCGCCTGGTTTTCTAGTTTTTGGCTTCTGGAGGACTAGACCCAGGGCTCCTTGGGCAGAGTTACAGCCCCATCCATAGACCAGTGAGTCCGACCCATAGGCTTTTTTGCTCTCTTCCTTCTCTCTCCTTCCAGGCTCAGGCCTCAGCTTCACCCCTTGAAGGACCCTGGCATTGGGGGTCGTCTGAAAGTGGGGAGATGGTGGGAGAGCTGCGAGCAGCATGCCCATTTTACAGATGAAGAAACAAAGGTCCAGAAAGTCAAATGAGTTGCCTGGGGTGACCGAGCCTGAGCTTGGCAGGGGTCATTACTCTGTACTGCCGAGAGCCACCCTCCCCACCCCCTGACCCTATCTCTCTTCTTCTGGCAACATCTGCAGGGAGCTGAAGCGCAGGGAGCTGAGGACACCTCAGGACAGGTTGCTGGGGCCCAACATGGAGGAGGCATGCGGGCCCCCGGCTCAGGCTGAGGCCCCAGTGGTGAGCACCATGCTGATGTGGCGGCGGCCGCCCCCTGCCCAAGAAGAGATGAAACACCGTTTTCACAAGGTGTCCCTGGTGTCGGGGGAGCAGACAGAAGGCCCCTGGGGGGAGATGTTTGAGTACAGCCACTGTCAAGAGGAAGTCAATGGCTTTGCAACACGGGAAGAAACGACTGTAAATTACCAGGGACCCCGGGATGGGTCCAGCTCCAAGAGCTGTCAGAGCCATGGGCCCATCTTTTCTAAGAAGTACACGCTACTCCCTAAGGAGAAAAGGCCAGTGGGAAGGCTGAAGGAGGCCGTAGGCCAGGGTGATGGCAGCCCCCCAGAGCCCAGGACTGAGCCAACACACCCGGGAGCCGTGGCCAGGACTGAGATTTTGGTGCCCCTGCCTGGGGCCCGTGAGCCAAGCCCCCACCCAGGTGTCAGTCTCATCAGCGGGAGCCCCCGGATCCTTGAGGAACGTCGGGTGACACGCACCGTGCAGACCACCGTGATGGTGGGAGGGCATGTGGAGCGACGGGTGAACAGCTCTGTGACCATGGGGCCGGTGCCGTCGGGTGAGGCCCTGCCGAGGGGCCGCAATGTTGTTCGCGCCATACGGGCGGTGGTGGTGAACCCCCAGGCTGAGGGCTCACCAAGCCGCAGTCAAGCCCGGGAGCTGCTAAGTAGCCTTGTGCCTGCTGAGCGTAGCCCCCCTGCCAGCCGGCTTCCCAGGCCCGTGGCTGTTGTGCCAAGGAGTCCGGGTCTGGGCGGCGGCACAGGGGTTGTGGGCTCAGGGCAGCTCCCTGAGACAGAGATGGCAGAGCCAAAGGACAAACCTGCTGTGGTCCCTGCACGCATCCCAGAGGATGTTCACCCACCTCAGAACCAGGATGTCCCTGCAGCTCACCCAGACCAAGCCCAGAGCAGAGCCCCAGATTCCAGAGCCCATGGGGTCCTAAGGGTGCAGGGAGCCTCCAGCCCCACCCAGCCCCCTCTCCAGATTTCTCAGGGCCATGCACTGTCACCCTCCTCTCCCAGACGCCAGACCCCTACCCCCTCCCTGGACCCAGTCCGCCCCCCAGAGCAGCCTGCAGTGCCCACTCACCCCAGGACCCAGCTCACTGTCAAGCCCAGGGGACCCCTGGCCCTGCCCTCTGTAAAAAGGGAAGGGTTCACAGATCCCTCTCCCGCCACCATCCTGCCCGAGGTGAAGAGCGAGGTGGTTGTTACAGTCCCTGGACAGCCTCTTCCTCCATCCTCTACAAGAAGGAAGGCAGTGCCAAGCTCAGGAGGGCTTTCTGCTCCACCCTCCCCAAGGAATAAGTTTGTTCAGGACTCTGAAAATGTCCCTATCTTCTCCCTCAACCAGGAAGAGGTAGCGCAGGGCCCTGGTGTCCAGGCTGACCCATCCCCCACCCAGAAGGAGGTTGTGCAGGGCCCTGGTGCTCCTGCCGCCTCATCCCCCAAGCCAACCAAGGTTGTCCAGGTCCCAGAAGGCAGCCCTAGCACCCAAAAAGAGGCTGTCCACAGTACTAACGGCGGCCTTGCTTCTTCTCTCAGCAAGGACAAGGCTGTTCGAGGCCTGACTGCTTCCACTATCCCATCACCCCAAAAGGAAGAGGCTGTTGAGGGCTCTGAAGTGAGCCCCATCTCTTCTCCCACCCAAAAAGAGGTTGTCCAGGGTTCTGGTGCTTTTGCTGCCCCATCTCCCACCCAGAAAGTGGCCATCCAGGATGCTGCTCCTCTCCCTGCCCCCTCCTCAGGGGGCAAGGTGTCCCCCAGCCCAGGAGGCCCACCTGCTCCAGCGCTGATGGGAGTAGAGGCCGGCCTGGAGTCCCAGCTTGTCCCTGACTCCACCGAGGGCAAGATGCTCCCAGAGACATCCAGGGAGGAGGAGCTGGCCCTGGCTGCTGACCTGGAGATTTTCCTGGACACTCTGCGGGGCATGGAGCCCCCCGAGATCCTCCGCACCCACCGGCTGCCACGAGCCCCCCGCTCCTCCTACCTGGCTATGTATGCTACGCTGCCCGCCATCGAGGAGGACCAGCCCGGACCAGGGGTGCTGGCACCCAGCCCCCAGGAGGCACCCACACTAGAAGAGAAAGAGGGGGAGGAAGAGGGGGAGGAAGAACCAGAGAACCCCTACCTAAGCGACGATGAGAAGCTCCAACGCAGACAGGAGAAAGCCAGGTCCAGCCCCTCCTGGGACTCTCGCCCTGCGAGGCCCCCCCAGGTCTCTTGTTCTCCTCTGGAGATGATGAAGAAACATGTAGCAGATGCCAAGGGCCCCCACCTAGAGCTGGGGCCAGAGTGGCAAGCAGGGGGCAGGCCCCCTTCCCGTCTTGGAGGCAGCCTTCTCTTCGGTGGTCTGGTGCCCACCACGCAGGAGGCCCCCGCCTCGGAACCACTGGGCACAAAACTATCTGCTTTGCCACCCCACATGACACCAGGGCTCAGGAAGGTGCCAGGACAGCTGCCCCTGCTGTGCAGCGAAAGGCCACTGTTGGAGAAGCCTGCTTGTGCCCGGCCCCTGGAGGGGTGGGTGAGTAAGGCCTTCGATGAGCAAGGGAGGGTTCCTGGCCTCACCTGGGGCAGGGTTTGGATGATATGAGGATCGTGGCACTGGGAAGAGAGTGTCCAGAAGCCAGAGGCTTGGGTCTAATGTCTAGTTCAGTGTGATCTTATACAAGCTACATCTTTCTGGGCCTCAGTTTCCCTATTCACACCGCAGAAGGCTTGTGCTGTGAAGTCCAAAGGGCTTAGTGGCTCTGATCTCTTGGAAGCTGGGGAAGGGGAGCGATAGGCATTCACCCCCTGGGATGGGGTGATGAGGTTCCTGGAGGTTGGTGACATTCTCTGTGGGCCAGCTCTTTGGGAGTGGAGGCCAATAGGGAACATGTGGGATCCTTGGAATGACAGGTTGTAGGGAGGCAGTAAGGAGTCCACACAAAAAAGTAAGACTTTTTATCACCTCCCTCCATGCCAGAGCCCAGCATTGAAGACCCAGGGCAAGCCGAACATCAGGCCTGGAAAGGTAAGGCGGCGGGAGGCCATGGGGGAGGCAGGGAGCTGGGGACAAGGCCTGAGGATTCCCTCTGCGTCCTCTCCAGATGATCCTCTTCTCAGAGCCTGCCTGCCAAGGCAGCAGCAGGGAGGTCTGGGAAGACATTGCCGACACCTCTGGCTGGGCCCGCATGGCCTCCATAAGGGTGGTTCGAGGCTGGTGAGTGCTGACTGCCAAGGCGAGGCAGGGGGCTGCTTGTGGACCTGGGGGATGTCAGGGTGGTGAGAAGTACCTAGGCCAACCTGGCAGAAACCCCCTCAGCCACCCTGCTTTGTGGCTACATCCTCTCCCCACCAGTGACCCTGGGTCTCTGTGCCCACAGCTGGATGCTCTACGAAGAGCCAGAGTTCCGGGGCCGGAAGCTGGTCGTGCCTGAAGGAGATGCGGATTTAGCAGTCTCGGGGCCAGCATGGAGCACCCAAGGCATTGGCTCCCTGAGGCGGGTTGTCTGCGTGAGTGGTTGGGAGTGGGCGCCAGATGTTGCCCTGTCTTCCCCAGGCTCCAGGCCCTGACGAGGGGGACAGCCCCAGGTGCCTGGAGTTGGAATGGCCGGGAGAGCTCATATGGGTGAGGAGCCTGAAGGGGGCTTACTATGGATTCCTGACCTCAGAGCCCAACCTGTGGAAGAAAGGAGTTCTGGGGTGCTCGGCCTGGCTTGGGGACACAGGGAGCAGACAGAGGCCAAGCCCCAGCTTGGGAGAGCAGCCTGCGGAAATTTGAGCTGGACTTGGAGACGGGTTCAGTTAGAGCAACAGAAATGGGTGGGAGTGAGGCTGTGGGTGCCGGCCCAAGCCGCCCCCCGCCCCCGCCCTGGGCCCACGATCTCAAGCCCAGGGTCAGACCCAAGGTGCTACGATGTTTGTTCATTTGCTCACAGATACTGGTTAATGTCTGCTGTGTGCCAGGCACCATGCCAGGCAGTGGGTGGGTGGAGGAGACCTGCTCTCTGCCCTGCAGGACTCATGGTCAAGCTAGGGTATGAGGGTGGGACTTGAAGCAGGAAAAGCATATAATCAGATTAGGGATTTATAAACATTCCTCTGGCTGCCAGGAGGAGAAATCCGGGACTCAGGAAGACAGGCAGGGCTGTGATTTCCAGGTGAGGGGCACATCTGAATTTGAAGGGAGAGGTGTGTGGTTTGAAAAGGCACAGTCAACATTATAGTTTCATATCTGTAAAGTGGGAAAAAACAATACTGTTTTTGTACCACAGATTTACAAACTACCAAAATTAAGCTTGACAAAACCGTCTTGGCCACTAGGGAGAAGAGAAAGCCCTAACTCTAAAAGCAGGGCCTATCAGACTTTTTTTTTTTTTTTTTTTAATTAAAGTACATATAACTCCAAGACGGAGCTGTTGCAATCCTCCTGGTAAAAGGGCGAGAGCTGACGAGTCTTAACCAGGGCAGTGGCCCAGCTATGCCAAGGAGGGAATGGTTTTGAAAGCCTCTCCAGAAATACACAAATGTTTGTGGACAGTTTAGTGTGAGTTTCTCACAATAAATTCATCTTCATGTAGGAACTAACGAGATAGAAGAGAAAAAACGAGAGCTCTGAAGTCAGGCGGCCCTAGTTTCATTTCATTCATTCAGCATGGATTGGGTGCCGAGCGTGTGCCAGGCTCGTGGGAGGTGCTGGTTGCAACAGTGAACAAAAATTACATTGCTCTGTTCTTTGCCCTGCTACGTCCAGGCTTTGTGCCCTCAGGCAGGCTGCCTAACTTCGATGAGCCTCACTTTCCTAGCCTGTGAATGGAGTAAGAATGCCCATTGGGAGGGCCAACTGAGACAGAGTAGAACATGCCCTTAGTGCAGTGCCTTGCACTCAGTAGGGGCTTCATAAGTGTTTGCCGAAGGAGCGAGGGAATGAAATGATCTTAGCGGGAGAGAAACACTCAGAATGCAGAGAGGATCCACTGCTGCCCGAGGTGAGATGCAGGTAGGAGCCAGTCTGGACTAGGGCAGGAATTGTTTACAAAGGAAGAGTCAAAGTTAGACTCAGGAAAGAGCTGTCCACCCTCTTCATCTCTGGGTTGGATTATCAGGCTACCCAGAGGCAAGGCGAACGGCGTATGGCACTTGGCAGACTCCTGCTGGGAACTTTGGTCACAGGTACCAAAGGTCGAGCACCAAAGAGATGGCTTTTCTCAGGCTTGTCTGGCGCACCTTGCGGAGAACATTCCAGTCACCCTCTGGCTTCTGTGGAGATGGCCACGAAGGTCTCCCAGGAGTGCCCTGCTGGACAGGCTTGGGAAAGCAGTTAGGGGCGGGGTGGGGGGTAGTCTCTGAGGGGGGCTGTTTACGCTCCCTTTTCCACCTCTCTCCTGCAGGACTACATTAGCCCAGAGATCATCTTGTACTCTGAAGAGGGCCTCAAGGGGGAGCAAGTGAAGCTAACGGATGCCTTGGAGGACTCCCAGGACCCGGAGAGGCCCCTGCAGGTGGCATCTGCCACTGTCTCTGCAGGACTGTGAGTCAGGGCAATTCTGGAATCCCTTCATTTAACATTCATTGTGCTGGGTGCTGGGGACACAGAGGTGGCAGGACACAACTCCTGCCCTCAAGAAGTGCTTAGTCTACTGGAGGGGACGTGCAAGTACGAAGGCAGTGGTGATCAGAGTCCCGGGATTGGGGAGCACAGAAAAGCACCAAACCAACCCGAGGTCAGAGAAGCCATCCTGGAGGAGGAGACACCTCAGCTGGGATGAGTTGGCTGCAGAAGAATCTCAGCATAATGAGGGCAGGGCATGAGGGACTTTCTATGTTTTGTTCACTACTCTCTCCCTGATGCCTGAAGCAGGGACTGGCATGGGGTAGGTGCCCCTAAATATTTGTTAACTGAATGGGGAAGATCTAGCAGACGGAACAGCACCCGCAAAGGCCCAGAGGTGAGAGATCTAAGACTTGAAAGTTCAGTCTGGCCCAGGAAAGCAGCAGGTGGGGAGATGTGAGGGCCAGGAGTATAGCAGGGGGACAGATCAAAGGGCCTCGGTGCAGCTGGACTATATTGTGGGGCTAACGGGGAACTACTGGGGGCCCCTAAGCAGGTATGTGTGCAGGAAAGAACTCTCCAGCTGTGAGGATTTAGAGCGCGCCAGGCCAGAGGAAGGGGGATGGATGGAGTGAGTGGCTACTGCAAGAGATTATGGGGGTCTGAAATATCCTCCAGCATTGACTTGATGGGGGCTTCTTCCCCTAAACCTTCTTCTCCCCTCTAAACCTTCCCCCCATCCACCAATCTGTGTCCCTGGGTATCTGGGCTACAGCTGCCTTTCTGCCTCCTCCCCCCCCACCAGGTGGTTGCTGTACCCCAAACCCTTCTTTGAAGACACTCCCTGCATCCTGGAGCCTGGAGAGTACCCCACCTCAGAGGCCTGGGGTACATCAGACCCCAGGGTGGGCTCCTTGAAGCCCATGCGACTGGTAAGGGGCAAGTGGTCACAAGTTACCTCGTCCTGCAGGTTGGGGGAAGAGGCAGGGCCTGGGGGCCTCCTGCTGAGAATGGGATCTGGGAGAGGGGGAATTAGCCCAAGGGCTGGGGCAGAGGGAAGACAGGGGGTTGGCCATTTTCAGGGGTCTCAGGATCAAGTAAATCCTGGATTACCAGCCCCATCTGTCTTCTTCCTTTACCTCTGGGCTGGTGTCTCAGCTCTGTCTCCTCTGCAGGGCTGCCCGAGTGTGGAGAAGCCAGGGGAGCCCAAGGTAAGAGTCTGCGCTGCAGGGTCAAAGAGGACCTTTGGGTGGGATGTGAATGTGCGCGTGGCTCTCATAGCCTGGACCAGAAGACAGGGGAGGAGAGTGCTGGGGAACAGAAGCTGGGTTTGGGAGGGTGGAATCCTATGGGCTCACTGGGAACTGGCTTTTGGTGTGTAAGGAGGTTAGAGGTAAGAGAAGAGACAGGAGTTACCTAAGAGAATGGAGCTTAGTGAGAGTGGGAGGACTTAGCTCTGGGCTAACTATCCCTGGGCAGGGCCTCCCTGGGCTGGCTGGGTGTGTTTCAGTCCAGATGGCTCCCCACCACCCTCTTTCCCCCAGGTTGTGGTTTATGAGGCCACAGGCTTTCAGGGCCAGAGCTGGGAAGTGAGCAGAGACATCTACAACCTTCAGCAGCCAGAGGACTGCCAGAGCCCCCACCTGGCCTCTGTGGGGTCCCTGCGAGTTCTTGGGGGCTGGTGAGGACTCTGAAACTTTTCTCCTACTTCATCCTCCCTTCTGGCCTCTACAATGGAGGTTGGGGAATGGCCCGGGCTGCCTAAGGGTGGGGGCAGCTGTCTTACACATCCGTGGGCCTTCCTGAACAAGTCTGTTTGCCTCCGCCTTCCCCCAGCTGGGTGGGCTACCAGAAGGCAGGCTTCCGGGGCCACCAGTATCTGCTGGAGGAGGGGGAGTATGCTGATTGGTCACACTGGGGAGGCTTTGACGAGAGGCTGACCTCCCTGCGGGTCATCCGGACGGTAAGCAAGGGCAATTGGGCCATCCCTCTGCCTGTGGCCACAGCCAGACATCCCCCCCCCCCCCCCCCCCCCCCCCCCCAAGTACAATCTGTTGAGGGAAGAGTTTGTGTCCTCTTTCCCAGTTCTCCAGGGCACCTGGAAGTGTTCCCTGAGGTCTTGCCCCTTGCCTTCGGACTGCTCTTCCCCAGTCCACACTGATCGCCTCACTGCAAAGTCCCCTGGTGGGCTGCGTCCCCGGGGTCTGGGCACTCCCAGGGATTTCCGTGGGTGGGCAGGAGACACCTGACTATCCCTGGGGCCCAGGACTTTGGGGAGCCGGCCGTGGTGCTGTTTGAGGCCATGGACTTCGAGGGGCATGGCGTGGAGGTGAGAGAGGCATTGCCGGACGTGGAGCTGGCGCGACACGGCCCCCACACGCAGGCCATCCACGTGCTCAGCGGCGTGTGAGTGACCCCGGCTCCGGGAGCGAGGCGGGCCAGGAGCGGTTTCCTCGGAGGAGCCGGCTCCGCCCCGCTGACCCGGGCCCCGCCCTCCCTGCAGGTGGGTGGCCTATCAGAAGGTGGGCTTCTCCGGGGAGCAGTACGTGCTAGAGAAGGGCGTGTACCGCAACTGCGATGACTGGGGCGCGGGCAACAGCGCCCTCGCCTCGCTGCAGCCGATCCTGCAGGTGCGCGCCAGCCGCGGGGGGCGGGGCCCTGGAGCCTGGGCGGGGCCCACCGCTGCGGGGAGCGCGGGGGCGGGGCCTCTGAGAAGGGGCGGAGCTAACACGGGCCTGAGCGATGGGATTGCTGTGGAAAGAGTTGGGAAACTGAGACTAGAGGCTGGCACCCTCCTTAAGTCGCAAAACTTTGGGCCCTCCCTCCAGGTCGGCGAGCACAATCTGCACTTTGTCTCAAAGGTAAGGAGCTGGTGCGGGGCCTGTCTCCTCTTCCCTATTCTCTCTGCCTCACTCCATCGCTCTCCATTCTCAGCTCTTCTTGTCTCTACCTGCAGATTCAGCTTTTCTCCGGCCCCGACTTCCTGGGCGACCACATCTCCTTCGAGGATGACCAGACCTCCCTGCCCGCCTGCTTCCAGGTCCAGTCTTGCCGTGTCCACGGGGGCAGGTGAGGACGTGGGGGAGGCGAGAGGCGGGGCGCACCTGCCGCACCTGCCCGGAGCGCTTAACTCAACTTGGAAATCCAGGCTGCTGGAAGGTCTTTCTTTGAAATGATTTCTTTCCTTCGGCTTCCTTGAGATGAGCTATTCTGTCCGGAATCATTCAATCTTAAAGGAAACCAAGCAAAATAAAGTTTTAATGGAAAACGTAAAACTTGTAGGTAGTATAGGATAAAGAACTCCAATCTTGTTTCATCTATCTCTCTGCCTTTTTTTTTTTTTTTAATGAAGCATTTAAAATCCCTGACCCAACATAAAATTTTACAGGTAAATACTTAAATATGTATCTCTAATAAGAAAAGACTGTCCCCAACCCACATAGCCATAATTTATTATCACAGCTAATAAACAGTGGTTTGTTAGTATTACCTAATACCCAGGCCATGTTCAGATTTCTCCCGTTGTCTTAAAAAAGTGCCTTTGTGAAACTGATTTGTTTTTCTCAGGATCCAAACAAGGTCCACACATTGCTTTTGGTCAGTTTGGTCTTTAATTTATAGCAGTTCCGCTCCTTTCTTTTTGTTTTATATCATTCATTTGCTTAAAGAAACCAATAGGGGTGCCTGGGTGGCACAGTTGGTTAAGCCACGGACTCTTGGTTTTGCCTCAGGTCATGATCTCAGGGTGGTGAGATCGAGCCCCCCAGGAGCCCTGTGTCTGGCTCCATGCTGGGGGTAGAGCCTGCTTGAGATTCTCTCTCTTCCTCTCCTTCTGCGTCCCCCCTTCCCCCTCCCAAAAAAGAAAAGAAAACCAATAATTTGCCCTGTAAGTTTCCCATCTTCTGAATTTGGCTTATTGCTTCCTTCGGGTGCCTTTTTTCCCTTTGTGTCCGATATTTCCTGTAAACTGGTAGATCTGGAGACTTGATGAGATTCGGGGTGTTTTGTTCTGTTGGCAAGACTATATAGGTGGTATCCTGTACTTCTTACTACATTACCTCAGGCCCATGCCTGGTTGTCCCACTTTTAATGATATCAAGATCCCTACATTGTAAGATATGCCATTTAAACAAAATAAGATTTGTCATTTACCTCTCACCTAATGGTGTTAGCGTACAGTGATGATAATTGCCTAGACCCTCTATTTCTTTAGAGGTTACAAAATGATGATTTTAAGATTTTTGGTATTCCTTCTACATATGTTGGCTGGAATACCTCTATAAAGAAGAGCTTTCCCTTTTCTATTATTTGTTTACCCAAAATGGTTTATATAAAAAAGGCAGTTTGATCCTTTCCCAAGGATCAGTTTCTCTTGATCAATTTTCAGAATAATTTCTGAATTGGTGCTCTAGCAACGTCTAGAGCTAATGAAATATTTTTTAAGTATTGTTATGAACTCATGGATTTATATGTAATTGAAATGCCTCCGTCCATTGGAGTTACTATTCTTTTGTGTGCTCTAATCATTCTCTCTTTGACAAAGGGGAGCCCCTTCAAATTGTCTGCTTCTGATGTGACTCCAGTAGTTTTTTTTATAATTTCCTTGTTTTCCTGGTACAGTAAGTTGCTCCAGGATCATTTTGTACATTTTTGCCCTAAACTTGGATTTAATTATCTGCCAAGGGACTCCGATTCCAATGGTATTTAGATGGAAGCTGGATGTTTCCAAAAACTATAATACTAATATTACTAACAGTAAAAAGCAGTGAATGCTGTTTGAGATGTCTCTGTGGTTCTTTTTGTCCTCAGGACATTCAGCAACATCCCACTTGGTATGTGCAGTTCAAAATATCATTTTTAAGACATTTGAAATAATACTTTTTGTTTGTATGGTTATGCCACCAACCTGATATACAGTTAGGTTCATTTATTTTATTTAATTTATTTAAATTTTTTGGAATACTTTCCATTTTTACTTAATTGTTTTTTAATTACATGACAAATTCACAGTGTCCCTGTCTTAGCTTGGGCTGCTGTAACAAAATATCATAGGCTGGAAGACTTAAACAACAGGAACTTATTTTGTCACAGTTCTAGAGGCTGGGAAGTCCAAGGTCAAGGTGCAGGCCCATTCTCGGCTCCCCTGCGAAGGCTCACGGCGAAGGCTCACTTCCTGGCTAGCAAATAGCTGCCTTCTTCCTGTGTCCCCATGTGGTGGAGAGAGCGCTCCTGTGTCTTCCTCTTGTACAGGGACAGTATACCCATCACGAGGCCTACCCTCCTGACCTCATCTGAACTTCCCAAAGGCCATCATATTTGAGGTTAGGACTTCAACATATGAATTTTGGGGAGACACATTCAGTCCAGAGCAGTTCCAAAGCTAAGTCAATCAGTAGGACCTATCTCTATCCCTGTAATCTTTTGTGTTTTCAGTGTTTAGGTAACTCATCCATTGTTTCTTTTTGAAAATATAAGGGAATATACTCTCATATATAAATTTGTATATAACTATAGAAACCAAATATATGTGTTACCCCCTTCCCCCGTTTTCTTACACAAAAAGAAGCGTACTACAACCTGGCGAATACTAAAGACCACTGAATTGTACACTTTAAAGAATGAAGTTTATGGTATGTGCATTATATCTCAGTTTTTCAAAAGGGAAGCCTACTATAAACACTGTTCTGCCCCTTGTTTGTTTTTCCTTAACCGTTTGGAGATCATTTTATATCCCTTTAAGAGCTCTTGCTCATTCCTTTTTACTGCTATGTTATTATACTCTACATTCTTAGTTTAATCAACTCTCCCCTGTTAATGGACATTTAGGCTGCTTCCACTCTGCAATGGCCACCAACACTGCACGGAGAACTTTGTGCATGTGCCATTTCAGGTTTTTGAAGGAGGTTTTGAGATTCCAAGAAATGGGATTGCTGAGTGATTATGCATAGAGTTTTGCTTCGTATTGCCAAATTTCCCTCCATAGGGGCAGTATGATTTCATCCAGTCATTTCTGAAGGCTTGGCCTCAGTCTCTTGCTGCAGGGCCTGTTCATCCTTGACCTCCCATGGGCTAGTGGGGGGGGGGGGTCACAATCAAGTCTGCCTCCACTCTGCCGCATCTCAGAAGGCCTGGCAGGCCAAGCACAGGATGTGACAAGCTCGGATACCTCCTCACATCCCCCTACTCTTCCCCTTTCCCAGCTGGATCCTGTTTGATGAGAAGAACTTCGAGGGTGACCAACACATTCTCTCCGAGGGCGAGTTCCCCACTCTCACAGCCATGGGCTGCCTAGCCTCCACAGTCCTGGGCTCTCTCCAGAAGGTACCCCTGGTGAGTAACTTTGTCCAGGTCAGGCAACCCCTGGGGCAGGAGGTGCTGCTGAGGGCATGCCGGGTACCGGGTCTCTTCTCACTGTTGGCTAGGCTGCTGGAGCTTGAAGCCAGTCATCGTCAGAACCACCCCAGGTCCCTCCGAGCCCGTGGCTTCAGAGGCAGTTTGACTTTACTAGAGATTTATTGAGCGCCCACCGTGACAGGTCCTGGGGATGCTGAAATAAGTCAGACACAGCCCTGCCTTCGAGGAACCCATGGCCACACTGACATAAAGATGACAAGGCAGTGGTGTGACCAGATATAGAGGTGGTCTGAGGACAGGAGGGACTAGCACTCAGGTGATCTGGGGGCAGGGGCCGGACTGCGGAGAGGGGCTTCCGTGTGGAAGGGAGCGGGACAGAGAGCTGGCTCCGCTGTGTGGGGAGTTCGGGTGGGTGGGGACAAGGCAGTAGGGTTGCCACTCCAGTAAGGGGCGGGGGGGGGGGGGGGGAGGGGGCCCCGGGCAGGGGGGGGGTGGAGGGGAGCGGCCTGGCCATAGTAAGGAACCGGAGTCTGGAGGAAGGGGTGGGCCAGGCACGGCAGCCCAGCAGGCGGTGACCACCAAGCTCCAGGCAGTGTGTAAAAGGCTTCCCCTGCACTTAATCTGATGAGCTTTGTCACTGCCGTCAGCTCCCTTCTCCAGATGTGAAACGGACGCACAGAGAGGCCGTGTGACTTGTTCCAGGCCCCAAAGGTGGTGACAGGCAGAGCTGAGTTCTCCCCGAGGCAGCCCAGCTGCAGAGTCCACGCTTTACAAGTACACGTTGGGCTCTGCAGGCAGACAGACCTGGTTCTGAAGCCCAGCTCTAGGGACTTGAGCAAGTGGTTTGATCTTCTCCAGACTCAGTTCCCCTTCTGTTAAGCAGGGATGATAATAACAGCACCTACCTTACGGGGTTGTTGAGAAGTTATAGTGAGATCAGGTAAAGCACTTAGCACAGAATGCGGCGGGTGGTAAGCCCCAAATACATGAGAACCGCTATAATTACTGCGATAATTACTACTGTTAGAAGCACCATTAACTGGCACTGGGAGGAGGTTTGAGGGGGCCATGGGGGGCCCACTCGGGCACATGCTGCATCTGAGAATCTGGGGGACACCCAGCTGCCAGTGTCCAGGAGTCCAGGGCCCTGTGGGGCGGAGCTCAGGAGGGAAGAGGGCCTGAAATACGGATCTGGGGATTGGAGTATCTGGAATTTGGGGCCGAGGTGGGGGCTGGGGCTCTCTCAGCCTCACCGCTTTTCCATGCCCCCGGCCCCAGCACTTTTCAGAGCCCTCCATTTTTCTGTATGGACTGGAGTGCTTTGAGGGGAAGGAGATCGAGCTGGACAGGGAGGTGCGCAGCCTGCAAGCCGAGGGCTTCAACAACCACGTGCTGTCCGTGCGGATCAGGGGGGGCGTGTGAGTGTGTTGGGGGAGCTCAAGGGCAGGGGCTGCTAGGGAGTGAGGGCTGGGTCCCTGGCCTCTTGCCCCTTTCCATTCCCTTCTACTCCCTGCCCCCAGCCAGGAGGGAGGGAGAGGGGCAGTGTGAGGAGGGCCTTGGACCCCAGCCTGGATCCTCCAGGACCCTCCTCTGCCCTGCAAATCCGAAATCCACTTCCCGGCCCCCCTCTCCTCCCTCGGGACCCTAACACCAGGCAGAGGAGTCTCAGCATGAGAGAAAAGGAGGTGGAGAATGTTCTGACATCTGTGCCTCTCCTCCACCTGTCTGTCTGTCTATCTGTCTTCCTCTCTGCATCTCCGGCACCTGCGGGGCCCAGCTGGGTGCTGTGTGAGCACAGTGACTTCCGGGGCCGCCAGTGGCTGGCGGGCAGCTGCGAAATCACCAGCTGGCTGACATACAGCGGAACGCAGAGGGTGGGTTCCCTCTACCCCATCAAGCAGGTGCGTAGCGAGTCGGCTTGTGTGTGTCTGTGCCGGTCTGTCGGGCCGTGTGCGTCCCATGTTTCCCAAACTCAGCATTTGGGTACTTTTGTCACAATTTTACCACATCGTCGTTCCTCCTGAACCATTATCTACTTAATATTTTTCTCTAAACCAACTCACTTTTTCCCTTTATCCTTATGCCAGGGACTGATATCCATAAAATCATGGGTTTGATGTGTGTGTATGATTTTTCTTTAATTGGCATTATAATAAATACATTACCATTAAATTTTTAGCCATCTGTTTACCCACTTAGGACTAAAAATCATCGCATGTGCCTCCCTCTGGGAAACACTGGAACACCTGGAAACACTTGGGTTTCTCCAGGTCTGAGAGCGCATGTCTGGACCTGCTTCTCACTTATGTACATGTGCGTTGATGTGGAGGCATGGCCATGGGGCGCGCGCACTCCCTCTCGGGGTGTTTCCGTGGCTGTGATGTTATTTGTATCCATGTGTCTGTGCTATGGAGGTGATGTGGTTGTGTGGGAGGTGTGTATATGACTACACGTGCCTGCTTTTGTGCCACTATTGAGACAGCGTGTGTCCTTGTATGAGGATCTTTGTGTGGCCCCTAAATTCACAGACTCTTAGGACAGCATTGCTAGAAGAAAGGTTGGAGGTTATCTCCGGCCCCCACATTTACAGGTGGGGAAATAAAGGTCCATAGAAGTGGACAAGGATTTGCTCTGCAATCTTGAGCAAGTACTGTACCTCCATGGACCTCTTTAAAATGGGGATAATGTAGGGGCCACCTGGCTGGCTCCGTCGGTAGAGCGTGCGACTCTTGATCTCAGGGTTGTGAGTTCGAGCCCCACGTTAGGTGTAGCGATTGCTTACAAAAAAGCCCCCCCAAAAAAATCTTTAAAAAGAAATAAAATGGGGGATAACACATGTGATGGAGTTGTCTTGAGGACTGAAGATAAATAATGTCTGTAAAGCTCTTAGAACGATACTTGAGTGGGTAAGCACTCAGCACACGTTAGTGGTGGTTCTTCTATTATTACCATCACCACGATCCAAGACCCCCGGCTGATCTGTGGCAGAGCCTGGTCTGATTTGTGACAACTGGGTGTCTGCCCCACACCCGGGCCAGTGTTCTTCTTCAGCACGGGTGTGTGTGCGCATGTCTGTATACCTACCCAGGCAAACATGGGGTGTGGAGTCAGCTGGCAGGGGGGCTGCATGTGCATGGCTGCGTGTGTCTGTGGGTTTGTGGCTGCAGCAAACTTCTGCCCAACCACGTGGACCTGGGGCGTCTCTGCCAGTGTGTCCCTGTGCATGTGGCTGCGGGTGTCTGTGGTCATGGGTGTGCACCACGGATGCACCCCTGATACACGTGTGTGAGAGAAGAAGCAGGGCCAAGGAAGGCTTCAGGGCAGGAGGGAGGGCTTGGGGGGCTGGGGATACTTGTGGCTCCCGAGCTGAGGGTGTCGGGTGCCCAGCTGGGAGCATCCCTGCCCTGGGGACCTCTCACTCTCTGCTCCCCCTGCCCACCCCCCCCAGCGCCGGGTTTATTTCCGCCTCTGGAATGCCGCACTGAGGGGATTCCTGGCGGTGCCAGACCACGTGGAGGACATGAAGGCAGGCCGTGTGGTGGTCTCCGAGCCCCAAGCGGGAGGCAGCTCCGTCTGGTACTACGAGCGTGGGCTGCTGAAGAACCAGGTACTGGTTGAGGGCCTGGGACGGGAACACTAGAGCCCCAGGTACTCGAAGGTTCCCTGCGTGGGGAAGCAGGACCTGCCTTCGGGCCAGAGAGACAGAGAGAGACACACACCTACCAGGACCCTGGGGAGGTGGGGAAGACTGCGGGCTCTGCTCCCCTGGGCCGTGTGGGCTCTTCTCTGGGCCTCAGTTCCCCATCTGCAAAACGAGAGCATTGAACCAGATACTTCTAAGGGGACTCCCAGCTCTGATATCCTGGGACAGACCTTGGATCCTATTAATAAGGATAGATTCACTCCACGAACATTTCCCGAGCACCTGCCCTTCCGAAGCCACATCGTAGTGGGGGAGAGACAGAAACCATTTAAATGAGTAAAATACCTCAGTACGTTAGGGGACGAGAAGTGCATGAGAGGAAAAATCAATGAAAGGGAAACAAGGAGTATCAGTAGCTCTGACAAGGGGAGCCCTTCCTAAGAAGGTGGCATTTGAGGGAGGCAGCCATGTAGGTATCTGCAGGAAGCATGCTCCCCGCAGGGGGAACAGCAGCGGAAAGGCCCTGAGGTGGGAACCTGCCTGGCAACAGGACTAGCCGGCTCCCCTCACGGGAGGCAGTGAAGGGAGGGAGGGAGGGAAGTAGCAAGAGAGAGGAGGTCAGAAAGGTTACGGGGGTGTGGGTCTTTGTAGGCCACGGAAGGAGCTTTGCTTCTTACTTGAAACAAGAGAGAACCTGGCTCTGTGGCAGGTGCTGTGGTAAGCCCTCTACATGAATGCCTCGTATGATTCTCAGAGGGCACTATGGGGCAGGTCTTACTCTACTCTCTGTTTTATAGGTGAGGAAACTGGAGCACAGAGAAGTTAAGTAACAGGCTGAAAGTCACACAGGCAGTTAGTGTGTGGAAGCTTGTCTGACGCGAAGTCTTGTGCTTTGGGAGTCAGTCACAAGAGGCTTCCTGGAGGAGCTATTTTTCCAGAACTTTCATGGTTTTTCACATGGACTGCTTGCATCAGGCAGCACTCAGAGGTTCCCATCCCCAGGGACTCCAGTGCGCAGAAGGATCAAGAGATTTGCCGAGGGTCCCAGTCCCTGAGAGCCAGGATTCAAAGCTGGGTGTGTGTTAAGGGTGTCGGGTTTGGCGGAGTCCCTGATGACCTCCTGGGGCCTCAGGTGGCCCCTACCATGAGCCTGCAGGTGATCGGGCCCCCCAGCACAGGCTCCAAGGCGGTGCTGTGGGCTGAGAGCCGCCTGCCCCGCCAGACGTGGAGCATCAGTGAATCGGGCCACATCTGCAGCCAGATGTTTGAAGGCCGGATCCTAGATGTGAAAGGTAAGGGGGCCTGTATGTGGGAGAAGGCACCTGGGGGGGGGGGCTGCAGCCAGTGGGGTCCTCAACAATCTCTGACCATCTCCCCATCTCTCACCCCTTCCCCCAGGCGGCCGGGGCTATGACCAGGACCATGCGGTGCTGTGGGAGCTGGCCAAGGACCGGGCGTCCCAGATCTGGACCATCCATGTGCTCTGACCGCCCCGTTCCCCAGCCCTGGAGGCTTTCCCTGGGATGGAATGTTTTTATAGGTTTTTTGTTGTTGTTGTAACATAAAGCTGTTTTCTAATATGCTCCGAGGCGCCCTCATCTTTGTGCACCTTGCTATTTGGGGATGGGGTGAGGATTTGTTCCCCTGCCTTCTTTGCCCTATACTTGCCCTCCTTTCCTCCCAGCTCTGGTTCTGGGGCTCAGGTGTAAGGCCTCCCTCGGCCACCAGAGGGAGCCCTGGGCCCAGACGAACTGAGGAGTGTGGTCTTTTATGCTGTCACCCCAAATGATGGGTTCCGAGAGCCGGCTCTGAGCCAGGTCCAAATGGGTCCCCTGAGCTGTGGGGCACAAACAGAAGCCAACCGCCTTGGTACCTGCCCTCAGAGAACTCACAGGCTAGTGGAGGATTCCAACAGGTAGGGTGATACACTCAGTGGTAGGGTAGGAAGGGAAGTAGAAGGATGCACAGAGGAGGAACCTGAACCACTTAGGGGCACAGGGCAGGCCTCTGGGAGGAAGGGATGCTCAGCTGAGATGTGGAGGAGGGGAAGGAGTCAGCCAGGCTAGAGGGTGGCAGAGGAAAAGTGTTCTAGGGATGCAGATAAGTCGAGGGGTGAAGACTTGGAAGTTCAGTGTGAAGGAGTTGCAGCCGGCCAGGCAGGAGAGGTGAATGGGAGACACACAACCAAGGACCTTGCCCACCAGCGTCCCTCTTAATTTCCCCCAACCCCGGTCTAAAGGCCCAAAGGTTTGGCATCTCAGGCAAAGAAGCCAGGACAGGGAGTCTGGGTTCTTAACCCAGCCTAGAAAAGGCAGGACATAGAAGAGGAACAGCTCCCTCCATCCCCCGATCTAGCAGGCACTTCTCAGCCCCTTGGCCAAGGTCCTCTAGGAAGAGACAGAGAAGCTCAAGGCCCCTGGGGCCTTCTATGGGATTCCCTTCCCTCCTTGCAGCTCCCAGTACCCCCACCGCAGACCCAGGAGGCTAGAAGTGGTTAGAGCAGCTGTGTGTCCTTCCTGCCTTCTCAGCCTGGGTTCAGTGGGGTACAAGTGGACGGCCTCCTCTTCATCCTTCTCAGCACCCCTGGTGGACCAGTGTCCAGTGTCCGGTGAGGACAGGAGAGTGCCTGTGGGGCTGAGAGCCCAAGAGCCTGAGGGAGTGGGTCTCTGAGTCTGCCATTCTGAAGACACCCAGGTATAGGGTGAGGGACTCTGAGTTTCTGCAACTGGGGATGTCCAGGGGCAGGATGGGGGTGCGGGCCCTCTGGGACCGTCATTCCCAAAAACCCAGGGCTGGGTGAAGCACATGCAACTAAAGAGGCTGGCAGATTCTGGGCCATGTCCCTGCAAGGTGATCCTGAGGGGAGAGGCCTCCGCCCTGGGATTCTGGGGCGGGAACGCTAGGGTAGGAGCTCTCTGGTGCTACCTCTCCTGCTGATGGGGGCAAGGGAAGATCCTTGGTGCTGCTGCCAACCAGGCTTTTGGAGCCCAGCGATGTGCAGTGACCACACACAGGACCCCACTCCAAGTACATGACAACTTTATTGATCCCCAGCTGGGTGGCGCTTGCCCCTCCATAGCTCCAAGGCACTGCCTCTCAATTCCCACAGCCTGGGCATCTCTGGCATCAACCCCTCCCGGGGACGTGGTGGTGGTGGGGCGGGGGGCTTCTCTTGCTAGTGATGGTGGCAGATGTCTAATGGGGCCTGGGGCTAGGGCGGAGGCATGTCACCTCAGCTGAGGTAGAAGAGCTGGATGAGGGTGTTGGCCAGGAAGAGAAAGACACTGCCACCGCCCAGGTTGCTGAGTGCTGGGGACACACTCTTGGGTTTCTTGGTGGTGGCAGCAGTGGTACCATTTCCCAGGACTCCAGTTTCTACCTGCAAGAGAAGTGGAGCAAGCTCAGGGGCTTTCGAAGCTCAGGTCATTTAGAGACCTAGTGCCCCTACCCTGATACAATAGTTCTCTGTTCTCTGTCCCCCGTGACCACGACTTCTGCCACAAGGTCCTGTGGGGACAGGACCTTCCTGCCTTGACACAGGCAGGGTCAAAGGCGGTCCCTCCCCTGCCTCCCATGGAAGCTTCCTCTCACCTCCGCCAAGCCACCAGCGCCTCTAGCATGTGGGAGACAGGAACCTGTGGTCTCAGCCCTTGACCTGACTAGCTGGGCTAGGGGCTTAGCCTCTCTGAGCCTGCTTCCTCATCTTCTGAAATGAGCCCATCACAGTCTTGAGGTCGTGTGAGACAGGGCTGGGGAGAAGAAACTGGCAAAGTGTGGGTGGGCGAGGAGGTGGGGAAGGTGTGGCCTCTTGCCCGAGGAAATCGCCAGATGGTGATCAAACTGTTCTCAATGCTTGACCAGTCTACAAGTAAAGCTGCTCCTGATGGAGATGAAGCTGTTTTTGATGGTGATCAGGCTGTTCTTGATGCCTGATCAAGCTGTTCTTGATCTAGAACTTGATGGCTCTGGTCTCCTATGCGGACTAGCACCCTTAGGGCACATGGGATGCTCCCAAGCTGCCTCCTGGAATAGCAGTTGATTTTGAGACTCCAGCTGTTTCTGGAGTGGGAGATTTCAATCTTCTTTGCATTCCAGAACACACAGGCTTTTCTGCCTGGGGTGGTTCCCTGCTATCTCCAGGACCAGATCTGGCTCCCCTTGAACCTGTCCTGGCCCCTTCCCAACAGGGCCACTTCCCCAGCTTCCCTGGGGATTGATGCCATCCTCGCTCTGAGCTGTCTCCCCAAGCCTCGTCATTCCTATTCCACATCACCCCCCTGTGGGCCTCACTGTGCCTGGCACCCTGCGAACGCTCCCCAGCCTCAAGCAGTCTGTGCCCAGCCAGAAGGGCTGGAATGCTGGGACCAGGCCCCCTGAGTCCTGGGTTCTCCTGCTGGGACCCTCTGTTCTCCTGGAAGAAGGCTGAATGCCCAGGAGCCTGCATTTCTTCCCTCCCCTACCAGGCAGGTCTGGGGAGTCCTGGGTGGTGGTGTCAGGGTGCTCCAAGGGGCTGTTCTTACCTGCATCAGAACCAGGAGACTGATGGTGAGTAGGAGGAAGAAGGAGCCCTTCATCTTTGGAGAATTTCGGTGGCTGTCTTGGTAGCAGCTTCTAGAGATGAGCGCAGGCTTGTCTGCAGGCCTCTTGGCTTGGCTGCTTTTGAACCAGGAGGCAGGGGAGGCGGGGTAGAAGCAGGAAGAAGGAGGGCCTATGGGTGTGGGGTGGGGTCCTTCTACCTTTCTACAGACCTCATGATTGAGGACACCAGGCCCTAGGTTCTAAGGCCCACTGTAGATGGTAGGTTCTGGATAGGGACTGAAGGAAGTGTCGGGATGGGAGGTGGGCAAACCAAGGGAGCCTCTGTGGGATAGTAAGCAGGGCCCTGAGCTGGGAGTCTTGCAGAGTGGGGAGTGAATCTTGGTCTAATTACCTATCCACCCTGAGACCTGGGCTAGCAACTGTGCCTCTCTGAATCTTTAACACCAAGAGCTGCCAGAGGATTAAATGCAATATAATTAAGAATATTGGAGCAGGGGATAGGAGCTAAAAAAGAGGCTGAGATAGGCTTAGGTTTCAAGGTAAGGTTGTAGCTGGCTCCACAGTTTCGGAATGAACGTTTGGGGACCATGAAAACTTAGGGTTAATAGATTTCTGCGAAATCAAAGGAGCACAGCTTTAGGAATCCGGAGACCTAACTTCTGGGTGAGCCCATTCCCTCCAGGCCTCAGGTTTCACCTTTCAAGTGAGAAGACTGGAGTGGATGATTATTTTAAGGCCTAGAATTTTGTGATTTGGATACAGAAAATAGCAGATGGGTTGTTTGTATTGCTGACCTTAACAATGAAACAGTTATTTGATCCAAAACGGGTTTATTCGGGAATAGAAGAGAATTGCAATTCAGGGCCAGCAAGCTACACCAAAACCCAGAGGCTAGCCCAACAAAGGAGAGAAACCTTATTTAACGGAGAAGGAGGAGGAAGTTGGGAGGAGTTGTTTTGAACAGAAGTCTAAAGGAGAGAAGGCGGCAAGTCAAATCAGGGTGGTGATTTCTCATTGGCTGAGCTGCTGGGGTGGTCTGCTTCCCTTTTCCTGTTGGGGTCTGTAACCGACAAGTCTTTCTGTAATTGAGGTTGGGTGATATGGCCTGAGAGCTCCCCCTACTGGCCTCTCCGCTCCATTTTTAGTAAGGTTTCCTTTTCTTTCCACACTTCCCTCCTTGTGATCAAGATCTTTCTCCAAAAGCATCCCTGATCAAGAGTCCGGTTTTCCTAATTCAGTGACCTTTTGTCCCCCAGTGCCAGAAGGGGCCTTCCCTCGGTGTCATTTCCCAAATCAAGGAAATTGTACAGGTTGGAAATTCCCATTTGAGGAAGGAGGAGGGGAAGCAGGAGAACTATCAGGCACTTCCCACCTTTAGCTCACATTTATCAAGAACGTAGTATCGGAGATCATCTCCTTTTTGGCTATATCATTTTAGAAAGGTTTGGCAGGCAACAAGTACAGAATCAAAAGTAATACGACAATTCCAAAGATACAATTTGTGGTTCCAAACCAGGACCCTAGCCCTGAAAGTAGCCAACTGAAAAATATTGGCATTTATTCCAACATAGGGGAGAAAAGTTCCCCCTGTGGAGGCAAACCCCCAATGACCTATGCCTCCTGGAAGTGCCTTCTTAACTTGGCCATGAACGCAAAACAGTGAATACCGCAAGGGCCCTTTGAAAGAATTCACAGAGGGCATTTGTGAAGACACAGTGCAGGTATGACCATGAAGCAATAGTTGGTTAAATTTTTGCAAAACAGCAAAACTTCAAATATGTTTTAAAAACGGTATTCTTGGGGCACCTGGGCGGCTCAGTGGTTAAGCGTCTGCCTTCGGCTCAGGTCATGTTCCCAAGGTCCTGGGATCGAGCCCCACATCGGGCTCCCTGCTCATCTTCCCTTTCTCGCTGTCTCTCTCTCTGTGTCAAATAAATAAATAAAATCTTAAAAAAAAAACAAAAACCCACAGTATTCTTATCTCAAAAGAACTCTTTGACATGAAATGTGTTATCAGTAATATAGCTGGTAAGGCTGTAAATTC